GTATAAAGAACATTTAATAATTTTACGAAGCAAAAACAAGTTCACATATCAAGAACATAAATACTTATTTACCATTATGTACAAATCATTTCTTTCGCATTAATTTAGTGGGTGAGTATAAAGAACATTCAATAATTTCTAGTAGGGATGTTAAAAGTCCGGTCTGGTTCAGTATGGTCAATTTTAGTCCAAGTCTAGTCTGGTCTATTATAGTCTTCTGTCTTAAGACTTTGCTAGTCTAGACCGGTCCAAACCGATCCAGTCTTAAGACTTAGAGCAGACCAATTTTTTATAGGTCCTGACCGGTCTTAAGACTAACTGTGGTCTATAAGTCTAAGACCGGACCACATAACATCCCTAATTTTTAGAATAAAAACAGTCAAACAAGTTCACAAAACAAGATCATAAATACTTATTTACTATTACGTACAAATCATTTCACACGCATTAATCATTTCATTCAGCTCGTTAGTATAAAGAACATTTAATAATTATATGAAATAAAAATAGCAAACCAAGTTACAAATCAAGAACATAACACTCTTAATTTAGTCGGTAAGTATAAAATTATTTACATTCGATATAAAATTTAATATTGCAAATGCGAAATAAAACATTATTGTATAGATTTTCTAAATATGGAAAATGTGCATATTGTAATGAACATAACACGCAACTAGCATGGTGCCTATCATGCGATCCTGACATAACAACAAGGTGGACAAGTGGAAATAAAGATATTGACGATTGCATGAAAGCATTCCAACTTAGAACCTGGAGATATGAAAATGCGATTGAATGGATTTCATTTATCTGATGTTAAAAAAATTGGTGAAGGAGGATTTGGCTCTGTATATTCAGCAACCTGGTTGGATGGTATACGTAAAGTTGATGGTAGTGATTATAATTATGTAAGAGCGCGTGAACCATCTAGCATCGTTGCACTCAAGACGCTGGCTGGTTCTAAGGAAAAGAAATTCAATTTTTTAAAGGAAGTAAGTTAATTTATTGCTTTGATAATTTATTTAATAGTTTATTGAACTAATTAATTGTTTAAACTTAAGTTTAAAGGTCTTATGGAATGTAAATTAAATTTTAGTAAGCTCGCAATATATGGAGTAACCCAAAATACAACAACAAAAGAATACTTGATGGTTTTTCAGTATGCTGATAAAGGATGCCTTCATAAATACTTAAGAAATAATTTTATTAGCCTTACATGGCAGGCTAAATTACAAATACTTCAAGATATTGCGGATGAATTATGGATGATTCATGATAATGCAGGATACATACATGCTGATTTTCATAGTGGTAACATTTTGCAAGACCAACGCACTAATAAAAATACACGACCATATATCGCAGATCTAGGATTGTCGAGAAAGAAAAATGAGAATGTTTCAAGTGACGAAATATATGGAGTTATGCTCTATGTTGCTCCTGAAGTTTTATCAGGCAAGCAGCAGTTTACACAGAAGGCAGATATATATGGGTTTGGTGTTATTATGGCTGAAATGTCGACTGGTCAAAGACCTTTTGATGGACGTGAATTTAGTGAGTCTAAACTTGCAGTAGAAATTTGCAGAGGATTGCGTCCAAAGTTTGCACTTGGAACTCCTAAATGCTATATTGAATTGGCTGGGAAATGCATGAATTCTGATCCACAAAAACGGCCTCGTGCTTATGATGTTTGTAATACAATAGAAGATTGGCTTGATAAGATAGATAGTTCAAATGATAATGAAACTAAAAAGCAATTCTTGGATGCTGATAAAGTTATTAAATTATTGCCGATACCAAAGCATCCTGATGGAATGTACACTAGCAAAATTATTAGCACGAAATTAATTTCAAAAGCGATTAAAGGTATTTTTATTTTCAATTAATATATCAATTAAATTTATGTTATATTTACTTAAAACTAATATAACTTGTTTATTTAAATTTGTCACAAGTTGATTCCGCTCAAATCAAGCTTGATATTACCGAATTTTGATTATATTGTTGTGTATACAAACTAAAAAAACAGATACTGTTAGTGCTCAAAGCTAAAAATATATATTTGTAATTAATATAAATAATATTTATAAAAATATTTGTTTATTGACTTTTTGCTAGATTGGGATTGGTTTTTTTGATTTAATTAAATAACACTGGTCGAAATAAAACATATCGGACAAGTATCATAGCTTTTTTAGTCCTGATATGACACTGATTAATGGCTCGAATCGCGCCATTTCTAGGTTCATATGGGAACTGATAGAGCTATTAGTAAAATTATAAAGCTATCAGGTTTCTGATATTTAACCAATAGCTCTATTAGCTCCGATATGAACCTGGAAATGACACGATTCGAGCCATTGTCATATCGGACTAAAAAGTTATAATATTTGCCCAATAGGCCTAGTATAAATAATAAATACAGTATTATTGAAAATAAATAATTTAAAATTTGGTCTAATATTTTAGAGTTTTTCTTTGCTAATAATTAACAAAATATAGACATAGCATTTATAAATTATATTTATATTGATTATATTTTTTATTAGATATAAAGTACTTAGTTCAAACATATGAGTGGCGCCGCCATCAGACTTTCAATTATATTTTGTGTACAGTTAGCCGTCTATGAAAAATCTATAATAATAATAGATTAAAGTAAAAGGTTTACAAGAAAGAATATAAATATTGTTATAAACAGATTTTTATAATATATAGTATAACTGATAGCAATAGTCACTAGTATAACATAACCAAATTCGACTAATAAAATTATTAACTCATTAAATATTTCTATATAGCTACATATAGTACTATATAAAAATTTACAGTAACAAATTATTATATTATCATAATTTTTATAGAAGATTTTTTTGTTTTGCATATAAATCTTACTGTAAACAGCATACAAAAACCCTCCAGAATAGTAAACCCACCAAGTACTATAGATCTCAGGATCTTCTTGATTAAAATACAAATCTTTTCAAATATCTAGATTGCAAAGTGTATATGTATTTTAAATTTTTACTTTAATAATACAAACTCTTAGCTATGTACTAGATTTCAGATCTACTATAGATTTTGGAATGTAACAGATCTGGGTCTTTTATACGACTGTCTATTAGCTATCTGTTAATAGTTTCAAGATTTATTGACTTTAACTTGATAACTTATAGATTCGGTCATAAGAAAATTTTTTAGCTGTCCAGAATTTATGTAAACAGCTGTAATTTTAGCAATGTGGATTGGACTTTTAAATATCCAGATGGTATCTACGTAATATCCGGATAGTATTCAGATGGTATGTTAAAAATAAATAAAATGATTGCTTTATAGCTATTTTCATAAATTCTGGGACAGCTACGAGTCTGAATCAATAAGTCGGCCAATATCAAAAACTTATCAGTTCGGTCATTGGCAGTTTTTCAACTGTCCAAGAATTTATGAAAACAGCTATAATAGTGTGAAATCAATCTCCAAAATTTTAATGTAAAGCGAAGAAATTATCATAAATTCTGAAATAACTAAAGTCGATGACTAAATCAAGTTAGAAGTCGGAATCAATAAGTTACCGATAAACTTTCTATTCGGTCTATAGTTGTTAGACGAAACCATGTGATGATAATCATCACCTATCATAAAATACCAAGACCTAAAGATTTAATCTAGTTTTTATTAAATAATGATATGTGACATTTAGCATCACATAGTTTCGTCTAACAACTATAATTCGGTCATAAGCAATTCATTTATTCCAGGATTTACGATAATATATGACATATTTTTAGGCATTTTTTTAATACTGCTCACTTCTTATTAATATGCTTTGATCAACTTGCTTACTTAAAGTGCGACCAAACCATGAGAAGGATGTTGTTACACCAGTGTTTAAAATTCAGTGTTCTCATGGTTCTCAAAGAACAGACAGTTTTTTTTTAAGGTTCTCTTAATTGAGAATATTTTATTACTTTAAAATGTTCTCAAAAAATATTTAATATAATTCAATCTAATAAACCAGTGCTCTGAAGGATCATTTGGGTTGAGTTTAGAGTCGAACCCGAGCCCAACTCGAGTAAAATCGGGTTATCTATAGTTTTGTATTATGTACTTATAATTCAGTTATTTAAAAATTATTTTATAAAATTAATTAAGTAAAGCTACCCCAAATTAATGCACAGTTTGGCTCTAGCCGTAATCCTGGATTGAATTAGATAGCATCCCTCATCTAGTTGAGAAGGGCTCAACTAATTAATGAAAGATATATCGCTACTACTATGCTGCTTACTGTTTGATCAGGAAGCTGTTAACTGGAACTACAGAGAATTTTATACATTTTAGAGATTTATAAGATATAATCCCCTGTGAGGCTCCGGGGTTACTACATAACTAACGCATACAACATTAATTAAACGGTTTCAATTTTTTTACGATTATATATGTTAGTATTTGCATGTCAGACATTAAACGTTAAACCGTTCGGTTGATATCCGGATAGCATCCAGATGCCATACTAGAAAAGAACGGATTTCCGGATTGATAAAATACTGACGGATGATCAAAAAACTGCCCTATTAGTAAACCTTTTCAAATGCATCCTCTAGGAATATAGTGTATTTAGAGTGAGTGTGCATTTATGAAATTAATTTCTCAAGCGTTCTATAAGTCTAGAACTGAACTGGAGCAAACACTTAGAATGTATATCATAAACTGCGCATTTAGAGAAGAATCAAATGATTTCAATCAGGTTCATAAACCTTTACGTTCAGTTAATGCGTTTGGAACTTTAATATTATATATTTCTCTCATAAAAACATGATTTTGCCTATCAAATACATTAAAGGAACATGTTGAACATTAAACATTGATTCTAGGATGCGAATGGCAAAACCAACTAATAGAAATATGCATATTTAAAATTGTTTGATTGATATAACTATATATATATCGTTACTAGCAAATATTATCAGATAGCTTTGGCAGGAAAAGGACAAGAAAAATCAAGTATCTTTTTTATCGGATTCCTTCTTTTCTGCTTCGATATCTAGGTAATAGATTAATCAAATAAGTCAAATGGGTTATGTAATCATGTGACTATATATTTTGTTATAAAATATAAATTTTTACAAACCTGCTTGAGTTGGTAGCTTAGTTTTTTCTTGGGTTTCGACATGCTTAAGATTTCCCTTAATTTCATCCACTTTATCCTCAATTTCTTTAGCAAAAGGTGGTTTATCTCCGTCCATGTTTTTTAGATTACGTAAATATCAGATTCTTTAAATCGTTACAAAAATTGGTCTAAAATATTTGGAGTAAAAAAAACATAAATTTATAATGCTAACTGTACAAAATAATGGGCATGAAAATAACAAATACCTTTAATTTTTTTTGAAGTGAGAAGAAAAGCGATTGTGAAGCAAGGGAATTAGCCGACCGATTTTTATGTAAAACTTGTCTCTAAAACCGTATTACCACGTCGATCCACTACTTTAAAAAATGGTAATAGGGAGTTATGCATGCATAAACTCAACGTTTCACTAGTTTTTTTTATGTATGTGCACATAAACTTTGCAATGAGCAAGTCACAAGATTGGCTCAAACAGGAAATTATTATTGTTTATCGTTACTGTGTACATATGTACGTGATACGCAAAGCCTCTTTTGCGGCCAAGGAAATTGAAGACTTTGTTCGTGTACGTAAATACTGAATAAAACTTACTCCTAAATTCTAAGGCTTGCTTGCACATAATTGCATAAAAAAAGTTGCATTTCATGAAAAAGAACACGGAGAGATATCTAAATTAACGCCATAAAACGGTTCAAAATATTGTGTACTTAGCATTTAAATTTATAAGTGTACCTACTTAATCTTCGATAATTCTTGATATAAAAAATTAACCAAAATTAGTCTGTAATAAATATATTCGATATAAGAAAATTATTAATAAACTCTCAATACGTACAGCAATACGTGGGCTACGAGTTACATAGATTAAATTATACTAAATTGGTTTACTGCGGATTACGGAATTACCGGATTGGCCATTTGATTAACAAATCATTGTGTAAGATCTGATCTTAATACATAATACGTATCAGATATTCCTTCAATTTTTCACATCGATAATAATTCATTATGGAAACCTCAACGACTAGTAATCCAAATGTTCCGAATTACCCTCGCATCATGATCGGTCTTAGTCGCGGTCAGGAAGAGCCCGATGCATCTTTGGTTGCTGCTGAAGCTCGTGAATTAGGCTACGACTTTATAATTCTTCCTATCGCCTTTCCTAATTATAGGCGTTTCTTGTTCGAACAGCTTGTAGATAGTGTTGATATTAAGGAAACGAAATTTATGGAAGAATGGAGGAAAGGACAGCCGTTTTGTAGAGAAGATTTAGTGGTGAAAAATGCAGGTGAATTGATTTTAATCTTAAAAAGGTCAACCATATTGAAAATAATTTATTTGTTTATTTATTTATTATTTATTTTTATTATTATTATTTTATTCTTAGATATATCGGATTTTATGGTAGGCCAAGTTTCAAACTGGATTAATTTAGATTCATTGGATTATAATATAAGAATAAACTCCGAAGTGGTAAGCCATTTATGGATTGATGTTCATTTTTTTCATTTTTTCGTTCAAACCGTCCTCATCCATTTTGTTTTTTTATAAAGATTCTGCGACAACAATTAACATGGATCGGACATATAGGAATTACTGCTGCATTGATACCGTTTCCTTCTGATTCTTTCATGAATTACGCGAGATGCATTAATTCTATTTTTGGAACAGTTTCCTACATTAACGTATTTTTTCTGGATTGTTATTTTAATTCATTTATTTTAGAAATAGATCAACCATAAATAATTAATATCTATTTTATATAGATGTGGATTAAGATTCCTTTGGTCCTTGAAGATGAGACATTGGGATCGAAAGAGACAGTAACATGGGAACGATGGAACAAATTTAGAACTCTTTGTGAAAATCACGTCAGGTTATCAATAGGTTAGCTCTGTGAAAAATCGTTGTAATTATTGAGCATCCCACTCTTATATTTGTTTTTTTTACTTTATTGTGTAATTTGCAGTTTTAGAAGTGACCCAAAATCTTCCCGAAGATAATATACTTGATCGATGGTTTGCTGAACCAATCAAAGCTATCTTCTTGCCAACAACAATTTTTTTGTCTAATGCTAAAGGATTTCCTGTGTTAAGCAAAAGGCATCAGGCTTTTGTTCGTAAACTAATTAAAGTAAGTTTGAATCTTAAGCAGGATGCTTTTGTTTAGTAAATAACTGCTAATTATAATTCATTGGTGTAGTATAAACCTCATTTTGTCATTGAATGCGCGGCAGATGGTCCTAACCACGCCAGCGGTGGGCTTTCTGCATATCAAGAATATGTACATCACTTACATCGCACAATGCCTGAGTTGACCCCGGTTGAACAATTCGCGTTAGGATATCATGATTTTCTGCAATCTCCTTTACAGGTAATTCATTTTGGTTACTCACAAGACATTTTGTTTAATAGTAATACTGATTTTCTTTAATCTGAATTATGACAGCCATTGATGGACAATTTAGAGTCATCTACTTACGAGGTTTTCGAAAAAGATTCCACAAAATATGCATTATACGAGAAGGTATGAGATGTAAGAATTGGATTTTATTGAACTTGGCAATCTATCCGGATCAATCGAAGTATTTGATTTCGATTTGACTCATTTATTGTGTTAGATAATTCCTTACATGCATTGATAATTTAATATATTTTACAGGCAATACATCATGCCCTTCTGGATCATACTACCGGATCAGAGGAAATGATGTAATGCTGATTGTCTTCATTTATAATAGGGAATTAAGAAAGCATTAATATTTATTAATCCTAACTCTTATTATTTATTATTATGATATAAATATTTAGAGTTATTATGGTTGTTGGTGCAGGGCGCGGGCCTTTAGTCACGCGTAGCTTAGAAGCGGCAGAGAAAGCACAAAAACGGGTTAGGGTATATGCCATTGAAAAGAATCCTAGCGCTTTTGTCACGTATGCCATTACAAAATTATAGCTCATCTTGATTACACAAGAACAGCCTTATAACATTATTTTTTTAACTTTTATAAATTTTAGTTTACAGAATAAGAAAGCAGAAATATGGGGAGATAAAGTAACAATCGTGTTTTCTGATATGCGATCCTGGAAAGCTCCAGAAAAAGTTAGTATATGTTTCTATATTATTTATTTTTTCAAATGTATTGACTAATTTTCAATTTTACACATATATAAAGGCTGATATACTAGTTAGCGAGCTTCTAGGTTCATTTGGTGATAACGAATTGTCACCTGAATGTTTAGATGGTGCACAGAAATTTTTGAAAGGTATTGTTATTGGAGGAAATTTTAAATTGTACATAATGCATATTTTTTAAACATGATTGTCTAATATTGATTTTTTTATGATACATTTAAGCTGATGGTATATCAATACCTGCTTCTTACACCGCCTTTATTTCACCGATTTCATCATCAAAACTTCACAATGAGGTTGCAGCATATAAAGATCTAGCTCATTTTGAGACTCCATATGTTGTTATGTTTCAATCTGCTTGTGAATTGGCCAAGCCATGTCAGATTTGGAGTTTTGAACATCCGAATAGAAACATAGCAGTTGACGAGGATGGTTGGTCATACATTTTAATACGATCTATATGTTAATATATGATTTATCAAATTTCATTAATTTTTATATTTATTAGGAAACCCTATCAATAATTACCATAATACACGGTACTCAAAAATGACCTTTAACATAAGAGAATCTGGAATACTACATGGTATTGCTGGATATTTTGAATCAATATTATACAAGGATATTATGCTGAGCATTCATCCAGATACACATTCTATTGATATGCTTAGTTGGTTTCCTATTTTCTTCCCGTTAAAGGTATATATCATTTTTTTCACAAAATAGTTATTATGTGTGATTTAACGTTACTGTTTTATTTATTTCTACATTAGATACCAATTTATCTACCTTCCAATACGGTGCTTGACATAAATTTTTGGAGATTAACAAATTCCCATAAAGTATGGTACGAATGGTGCGTTGATCCTTCTCTTCCATTAGGTTATGAGACAGTTTCGTTTAGTCCGTCAGCAATACATAATTCATTAGGAAGGTCAAGCTGGATAGGTTTATAATCAATAGACGGATATGTGATAAAATAGTTAGTAAGATTTTATAGTTATACTTGATGTATTCATATTAACACGTATAAATTTCATAAATTGTATTAACTGTGAATGATAAATTTTTCGATTAAGTAAATTACTTTAACTTGAAAGTTTAATTCATTATTTTATTACATCACATTGCAGTCTCGATACGACTGTCTAATCAGTGAAATAGGATACGGGATGTTCATAATACAACTACTTAAAACTTTTTTTTTTATTCCCCGTTGATTGGGATACAGTTACATAGTCTAATTTAAATAATTATCTTTTAAATTATTAATGTTTAATAAAAGATTATACTAGAATGCGTCTATGGTGTTTACACCTATGCGTGTATTAATTAGTTGTGATCTAAATAAAAATGTTCTATGCTTCAAAAACCATTTCCAAACTTAAATTTAGAACATTAAACCAATTTACAATACCATAGACGCGTTTCATAGTAAATGTAGCAAAATAATAATACAAAATTTTATACATCAATTATTAAAGAAATTTTTTTTTGAAAAGTACATATTAACTATTATTAATATAATAAAATCGTTTTTAATAACCTTTTTGTCTACTGATGTCTAATAATTATATAACTAATCTTACCAAAATTATTCTAAACCACTCTAATTCAGTAATTATTACTAATAAATTAATACAATAACTAATTAAGACTATTTTTTTGAATTGTTTATAATGTTTTTATACCAAATTTACTTATACGTACTATTTTTTATAAATCAATAATATCAAATTTATTTGACTCACTTTTTCCACCATTTCCATTACTACCATTATTAGGTTTTGATTTTGTGGAATCTTTTGAAAGGTCCTTGTCTTTTATAATATTTTTTTCTCCTAGTGATTCTCTATCCACATCTAAAAATCTATTCCGATTATTCATAATTTTTTCATTATCATTTCTCACGGGATAATTACCAAATTGAAGGCCAACATCAATTCTATTTGGATTCATTCGATAGGTAGGTTCAGGTCGAATAACAGCAATACGTGTAGTATAAGCTGCAGAATTTATACGTTCATCTTCTTCATCAACAGATGGGTATAGCATACCTTTACCACCTTTCTTGTCAAGTTTTAAATTTGCTAATAATATTGAAGTTGGTTTTACCAAAAACCAAGAAAATTTTCGGACTCGAAGTAAAAATAAGAAAGAGAATAATGTTATGCAAGTCGATAAATCTTCAGTTATCTATATAAATAAAAGTTTAAATTATTACCAAATTTTGAATTTCTTAAGGGTTAAATAAAAAAAAGAACCTACCTACCCTTGATTTCCAAAAATTTGATATAGTAGGAGCAGAATTTGAACAAAATATATCCGAAAGGGTTAAGAAAGAAAATGGTATCATTAGGATACACATTATTAATACAACCTAATAAATATAAATAAATTAAATAAATAAAAATAAATAAATTAAATAAATAAAAATAAATAAATAATAAAAGCATAATAATTATTTGATAAATTACCCGTCCAGCTTTCCATTTATCACCTTTATTAGCAAACTTATAAGTCAAATTTTCACCAATCCTTTGATGTATTTCTCTACTTGTTGCTAATCCCCAAATCATAATAATTCCAAATATGAAATAACCTAAATTTACTATTACAATAAATATAATTTCTAATATAAATGAAGAATTTAATAATTGTGAATTTGTTGGTTGATTTAAGATTTTTAGGAATGTCGAGGTTAGGATTATGAGGATGGATGAGTATAAGATTAGGCGTTGAACATTTGAAAACATTCGAATAAATGATAATAGGTGAGTATCGTATCTGGTTATTTCTCTGGTTGCTTTTACCCTAAAAAAATTATAATAATTTCTTAAGCGAAAATAAATGAAATTTAAAATGACAAAAAAAAAAGTTTATTAATTCACTTACCATAAAAATTGTAACATGATATAAAATATGCATAATGAAGCAAACCTTAATCCTATGATAAATTTATAACTTGTTATCGATAAACGATCTTCTCTTATACCATTTGGATCAATTTGTAAGATTATTGACGATGCTAAAATCGCGAATAAAAAAAGAGTCAGAAATGCACAAGTATATAAATTCACAACAAAATAAACATACCAAGAGAACAAAATGAAATAGCAGGTAAAATAACAATGTTTAGGTTTCCTGGATCCCAAGATCCAAAAATATAATACATTATTATGCAGGTCGTAACGAATATAACACTATAGATAATACTCCATACTATAGACCACGCAGCCCAAGAACTGCTTTGCAGTAAAAACACCCATGGACTAATATCTTTAGAAAGAAAAAAATATTTTAGCAAAAAAAAATAAAAATAAAAAAGTAAAGAATATTAAATTTATAGCATACTCGAAGTAATTTTAATATGATCAATATTTGCATATAAAGATTGAATCAAAGTCGTATCATCTTTTCTGAGCAAAGTCAAACCTACACTAGCGTTACGTAACAAGTCACGATTATGTATAGGTTCCTTAACTCCAGGATCACCACCATTCAACGAAGTAAAAGCAATAACTTTTGGAAGTAAATCATTAATATTGAATGAAACATCTCTTTTATGAATGTTGACGCGTTTTTGATTTTGTAATGAATTGTGATTAATTGACCGTCGTTCATAAGAAGATTTTGAGATAAAATATTTACATTGTCCATTATTTTCATTACGTCTTTTTACGTCAACATTATTAGCAGAATAAGCAATAGTCCCATTAGGCAGAATTGTCGAACCATCAGGTAGAATAGATTGATTACTACCAGATGGAGGCATTATACCATTAGTTATCCATATGTTTCTATAATCAATATTGTAATCATCAGAATAATTATATCAATTATACAGTAAGTAATATTAAAATTTTATATTTTTTTTACCTTGAGATGAAATCATCAATAAAATTACAACCAAATCGTTGAATCACATCAAAAGGAACTACCAACAGATCTATTCCCACAGGAATAGGTCTAAGCGTACACGGATCATCATTAATTGTAAAATTATCATCATTAGTAATTACATTAAGTTTTGCGATTTCCAATCTTCCTTCAATAACTACACCATTCTTATAATAATTAGAAAGAGGATTGTTATTTAAACTATCCAGAAATGGGAAATCGGTATTTGTCAAAGAGGCCAGCTCAATGTTAGATGAATCGTACAATAATAGCGTCGCATTCACCGGATCAAGAGACGTAAAGGTCAAGATACATAATAAGAAGAATAAATGGGTACGATGATATATTATTATGTGAAATAATCTAGTCAAATTTATTAATCCTGAAAGAATTATTTTAAAAGGAATAAAAAAGATTAATCGAGACATGATGAAAATTCGTAACGCTTTTTTATTGGATTATAAAAGAACAGAGTTATTAGAATGTTTCCGTGTACGTGTCGCTATTGTTCTGTAGGCTGCTTTAGGGAGGACAGATAGGGGTTAAGGAGACTTTGCAAAAAAGTTAACGACTGATGTTTAAAAATGCGTATTTATTATTAAGTCATGAAATGTAGGGGATATATATTACAAGGGGTAAAATATGTGCATAAATAAATGGATTTTGACCGTCTATCAAGAGAAATACAAAAGAAAGCCGTTTTAAAAATTAAACTCGGCATAGACGTGAAAAAGGTCAAACAATATAACGAAAACGAGTTCTCATATAAAATACATTTTTTTAGTACCAGACGTGGAATCAAGAGTTACGCTAGTAAAAAGCCATCAATAAGGTAAAGATCTGCGGAACATGCCAATCTGTTTTGTCTACGTCTGTCAAATTCGTAAAGTTTTTTTTTTCGTTGTTTTCCTCTATGAGAAAGATCAATCATTTTCATTGGTTGACATACCAAATGTGGTCAACTAATTGTGGCTAAGATTTCATAAAATCCGAGTTTGTTATTACCATAACGATAAATAATAGTAAAGTGTTTTTTTGATCGCTAATAAAGACGCAACAAGTAAGCATTAGATTATATAAACAAGTATTGTGCAGTACCGATGCATAATTATTTAAGGTAACGTGGTTTAGGATTATTGAACTTTAATAAGGCAACAATTGTATAGTGCAATATCGGTATGATAACGATAATGATATTAATACCTTTAGTTTATATATCTTATTAGGATGTAAAGGTAATTTCTTTACATTTATATATAAAAGTATTGACAACTGAAACATTATTAGTAAGATGTGAACATCGTATATTTATATAATCGCATTAGTATATTATTAATGTCAAGGTGAGACTTTTTGTTATTAGGAATTTCCAATTTAGTAGCTAAATTTGAAATGACTTAATAAACTTGCAAAATAAATTAACCGCATTGATAATCCGCATTTCTAGTTTTTTTTTTTTAATATTTTAAGGCAAATAGTTTCATGATCAAAGAAAGGGCTCATTTGTAATAGAGACCAGTCTCAAAGTGCGTGTGCTAAATGTAAGTTTCGGTTCAAAGTATATGTATATATGCAAATTCTCGCTAAATTTTGGGTTCTTCTTTTTACTATATCGAGCTTAGTTGTATCATGATCTGCAATTGATTCAATTATTTTTGGTAGGCGAATGTTGACAAATAAATATTCACATGATTTATGATACAACAATATCGATATTCTTTGTTCTTTCTGACATTACAAGATTCGATTTATTTTCCATAACAATCAGAAAAATGCCTGAGTGTACACATCCATTAGTTGGCGTCGGAACATTTGTGATGCGAGGTAACAAATTCCTGATTGGTAAAAGAAAAGGAAGTCATGGATCCGGTATTTATCCAATATCTTGTATCAACTCTTGACAATGAATATGATTTCTCAAATTTAATATTTGTAAATATTAATGAAAGGATCTTGGCAGCTTCCTGGTGGTATGAAATTATATCAATTGCACAAGCATCAAACATTCAACAAATTCATTCCTAAAAACTCTATTTAAAGGAAAGTTAGAATTCGGTGAATCCTTTGAAGACTGTGCAAAACGTATATATTTTTGAAATTCAATAGTTTGAATTTCTTTCATCTGAACTTTGTATTCTTTAGGCGAAGTGCTTGAGGAAACAAATCTTGAAATCACTAATGTGATTTATCAGACTACAACAAACGATGTAATGACAAATGAAAATATGCATTATGTAGGTATTTTTATGCGTGCTGAGGTTGTTGATATGGGAGCTGATCCTTTGGTAATATTTACATGTTCTTGTCAATTACGTTTACGTTTATTAAAACGTTATAAAATTTATCAAAATGTTCATCTTTTAATATTGTGCCTTGGGATTATAGGTAATGGAACCAAACAAATGTGAATGTTGGGAGTGGGTAACATGGGATGAGTTTATAAAAGGTGGTATTACTGGTACTGAAAATATTCAAGACGGTAAGATTAATAAGTATAGACCCATGTTTCATCCTATGGAGTCTTTAATTATTACTAGAAACGGGTATCGACCTTGTTAGATCATTTTCTTATCTTGATTATGTGCGATCTTAATAAAACAAAAAAATTATTTACCTGTTTTCGCGAAATAACACGCAGGGGTATAATTGCAAAATTTGGCCCAAATTAAGCTTAATTCGGGTCATTATTCAATAAATCGTATGACTTCGCGCGAAGTGCGAAGTTACCTCATCTTTTAATTACCCAATTAAACATTTAATTCGTGCAAGATGTGCAATTTGTGCAAAGATGATATTATTATCTTCTGCGAGGTACATCTTTAGTCTGGATCAACTTGCTCAAACTTTGACTGATTTTTGAGTGATATAAAAGTTGTATCATATATAGTTACATCTAACTCGTATTAAAAATCATTTATATTATGTTAAAAATCATGATAAATATGTGAAAAGTCATTCCAATTTGTAAAAACTCATGGTGAACTCGTGGCAATGACGAACTCATGGTGAATTTATAATAAATACTAGATTCTGATGTTTTGATTTTTAATTATCAAATGAACACTAAGATATTATTGGAAATTTCCCCAAACTACATATGAAATAATATTTATCTGTCCCTCAATCGATATTATTGATGAATATAAGATTCTCATGTGAAATCTCATGATTTATTATAGCATATATATACCGTAAATAGCAATGTACAATACCGGGAAACCTCTAGACCCTGGGTACAGCACATGGTTGAGAATTTAAGATATTTGAAAATAACTACATTACAAATACCATAGTTTCGCGAAATAACGTTATGAGTTGAAATTACACCCCTGGCGACAATACGGGTAAAAGATTGGGTAAAAGATCTTGAGATCTGCACCCGGATCTAGTATTCGGGAGGATCTTTTACAGTACTTAAGTACTGCTATGCATGATTGTGTATCGGCATGCATGAACATTAAAAAACTTTTCTCTTTAGACAAATAAAATGCCAGACGTCTTATTCAACAAAGTGTTTATCCACCTTAGTCTTCTTTTAGACTATATATCTTATATTTTCAACAACCTTTTTTGTCTTTTATTTAGACAGAAACCTCTTAAAGCTCATGTTCCCACTCAAAATTATCATCCTGCTGTTCTCATAACTGGTACCTCGGTTGGAATTGGTCGCGAAACTGCTTTTACTCTTGCGAAACTTGGGTACACTGTATTCGCTGGTGTCAGAAAAAAGGATGATGCTGATGATCTTATTGCTGCTTTTCGCGAATGCGATAATCCCAAAGAAGGCTGTCTTAATCCTATTATTTTAGATGTGACAAATAAAGACCATATTCAAAATGCGTATGATCATATTCAATCAACCATTGGTCATGAAATTCCTTTCGTTGGTTTAATCAATAATGCTGCATTAGTTGTCTATTTACCCATGGAAATTGCTTCGGATGATGCTTTTTTAAATAGTTTTAACACAAATTATTTTAGTATTGTTAATCTTACAAAAAAATTCTTACCTCTCTTACGGGAAAGTGGTGGCCGTGTGATTAACATGGGTAGCATTGCAGCTTGGGAAAATTCAGCTATTATGGGTATTTATTCTGCAACTAAGGCTGCCGTTAGAGTTATGACCCGCATTTGGAGAATGGAAACTAAAGAAATGGATGTACACTTTGCTTTAATTGAACCTGGTATGTACCTATTATGTTTATCATTTTTTACCAATCCTATATATATATATATATATTCTAATCGATTGTTTGCTTACTATTCCTAGGCATCATCGTTTCCAGGTTGAATGACCAAACAACATCTAATTTTCGTAATTTTAAATCTTTCTCTTCCCTCTCTGATTACTATTCTACTTCACAAGAAGCTAATTCAAAAGTTATCGTTGAATATGAAAAATTGTATAAAGCTGTTGCAAAATGTAGTGAAAATTTTAGAGCTTCCCCTACTGAAATTGCAGCTGATGCCATATTACATGCTTTAACTGCCCCTTATCCAAAAAATACTTATTATGTTGGTTTAGATGCTAAAGTTCTTGCTTCTGTTAATTGGCTATTAGGTGATAGAGTTGCTGAAACTGTACAATCCAAAGTTTTATCTTTTGTTTCTAATTAATAGTTAAAATTTTCTTGTTATATACCTAGTCGGTGATGAGAAAATCTCTCACCGGATATTATTTATTATCCGGCTTATACGTATATTATATTTCGGATAAACATATAACAGCAGTTTCTATCCAGGTCCAAACCTCAGTAACTAGTAATTTAAATTAAAATTTAAATGAGGTTAAATTTTTATTAACTAAATATGTATTTCTTTCTCTATATTATTAGCGTAAATACAGCTTAAATGGTAGTGTTACAAATCGCCAAAATTTTTCCAATCGATTAGTTTATTTTTTTAGTTGCAATTAATCGATTAATTGATTTTTCGATTAATAGCAAGTTATAACTAATCGATTAGTTGCAACTAATTAATTAAAGAATTAATTGATTTTTTAATCGATCAGCAATTAATTCTTTAATCGATTAGTCGATTAATTGATTAATCGATTAGTTGGTATCTAAAAAATTCAATCGATTAGTTGTCAACTAACCAAATAATCGATTTTTTCAACTTTCGATTTGTAACACTATTAAATGGTGGCTAAAATCTTCTGAGGATAAAGAATGTCGTTGAACAGTATAATTTTGGGTTACGCTATTATAAATGTGTAAATGAAAAGAAGGCATTTGAATGGTTTTATTACTTTTCGTATCTGGAGCTGACCAACGCATATATATATAGTACTTAAGAACATGTTGCTATGACTAGGGTATTTAAATTTTTCAATGCTCTTATTTTTCTGTGACTGATCGTTTAAAGAGTAAGTAATAACATGACGAATATCTAACGTAACCAGTACGTACGTACATAATCCATGAAATGCGAATTACCTTTTGTATTTGAATTCGTAGTCACAAAACCTACCCATTTCGAAATACATTAATTATGAAACGCCCTAATATAATCAAGATTTTTATTCACAGCCTAAGTTTGGTTTGAAGGCTTTTTCGCTTGGTAGTAATCATATACAGAGAAAGTCAAGGACTTTTTTTTAGTCGTTAAACTAGTCGCGCAGAATGACCATTTTTTCCATTTTATGAACGAATACTATAAAAATAGCAAAATAAACCAAAATTATCAAAAATGGATTAGCCATTTACGAATTAACGCATTTCCCATTTGGGACTATTATCATTACATGAATGATCGTTCGTCGATACTCAAGACTAATTTTGGACTTAAACGAATGCCAACCAAAATCGGATCAGCCATTCCTGAAATATCCATTTTTACTAATAAAACAGTTACTTATTTCCACTAACTTCCGAATATGTTCGAAACCGTTTACAGTAGAGTGTCCAGCTTTCTGCGCAAATATGAACAAATTCTGCTGATTCTGCTCAAAAAAAGCCGAATAAGCAGAAAAGGCAGAATCATTATTAGTTATATAATGATATATAATCAATTGTAATTGGTTAAGCAGATAATACAGAAGTAGCCGAACAAAAAGCAGTAATTTAACGGTTTAAAAAAGCAAATTTCTGGACACTCTAAGTTTACAGTAACGACTATATTTCGAGAATGGCTGAATCATGGATTAAACGATTTGTAGTATTCGTTTACATACAAAATCATCGAAATTGGACCAACCAATCTTAGTTATAAAAGATACAATATGAATAATTATTTTCTGGATTTTTTTTGCGGCCACTGTAATCAAAAAACTGAAGGTTTGTATAATTTAATTATCTAATTGGTGCAAGTTTCGAAGAATTGTTTATGAGATTTTAATTTTGAAGAAAAATATATCAAGGGGATCTAGCTCAGATGGTAGAGCGCTCGCTTAGCATGCGAGAGGTACTGGGATCGATGCCCAGGTTCTCCAATACACTTTCATTTTAAATAATTGAAGAATTTGTTAAAAAATTAAAAAACGTATACAGCACAGACCTTTTTTTTTATGATTAGCAATGTTGTACGTACGTACATTTTGGACAGTTCGGCTGATTGTCTGCCGGACTGTCCGACACTCACTAGCCTATAAATCTATCCAAAAAATACGCACATATAATATGCAAAAGTTAATTCTAAACGATAACTAATATTTAAGGCAGGTCATGCTAATAAAACTTTGCTTTATTTGAATGTCCTAATGTCGAAACTCTCCGAGTGACAAAATTGTCCAATTTGTAAGTTTTTTTTATACTGTGCTTCCGATCAATCTAGCAGTTGCTGAGATTGGCTGAAGCTGAAATTGGGGGCCTCTATTTAAATCTACAATATCTACTAAAATTCATTTATACTTTTTTTTTAATAAAACTACCTCTAAACCCTAACCTAACCCTAAAAAAAAAAGGGCCCAAAAAATTTTAAAATTTAATATTAAAATATTTTAAAATCTCAGCTTCAGCTGCCACATTTATTATTTTAGAAACCTGGTATATTCCAACTCCATTCTGTTAAAATCATCGTTATAAGGTTTTTCGCTACCTGACAATTACAGTCTTGCACATGATGTAAACCACTAAATCTATGTAATTGCTTAATTTTTCATCTGGTTTTTCTCGTAAATTGTTTTCTATTGTTTTGAACGCTTTTTTAAAAAAAATAAAAATAAAAAATATATACATTAATAAAGCATATGTATAGATACTAATTAAGTAATTTGAAAATTTGAAATAGTAAAATTATACCTTCTAAACAATGATCCCAATCCCAAATTTTGTATTCGAGGCCTTAAGCTGCCCAATCATTGTACTGTTTTGCTTGACCCCGCCTCAAATACAAAAAAATGAAGTTCACATATTTAGAAATAAATTTGCGAAACTTGCATGTAAATCATTGCATTCAAAGAGCTGCATCCTCCCCAAACCTTTCCACGTGGGTAAGGGATTCCCTTCTTTACCAACACTTCTTAGTAGGAATTACATGACGTTTCATTTTTTGGTCTTGAGCAACATATCCCCAATCATGGTCATATGGGCTGCCGTCAATAGAAATCAAGCAAATCTACATTTGAAAAAAAATCAATACCTTAACTTTCACAGCTAATATCTCGATGAATTTTAAAGCTATTTTAATGATTTAATATTTAAAAGAAAGCTTAGATCATAAACTTTCTTTTGAATAATAAATCATTAAGATAGCTTTAAAATTCATCGAGATATGAGTAGTGAAAGTTAAGGTATTGATTTTTTTTTCAAATGTAGATTTGCTTGATTTCTATTGACGGCAGCCCATATAGCTGGAAAGCCTACGTTATAGAAATAATATGAGCAAACTAAATAAGAAACTAACAAAAAAGATTTTAGCAGAAACCGCATGTCACCTGAAACCAAGTACATGGCAAACTAATTAAATCATTAGAATGAGCATTAGGCCCCCAGCTTCCAGAATACCATGAATCAATTCTCTGGCAAGTATACATCCTGCAGTATCAGCTCCTATGATAATAAAATCATAGGTTTCTTTAATTTTAAATTTTGCGTGTTTGTCATGATCGCAAATACTCTTCATCGAAAGTTCTCGAATTTTTGCATCATTTTTTAAATCTTCTTGGTTTTTTCAATTATGCTTGAATCTTTCTTATTCATATTTTTGTTAATAGTGAAAAAAACAGCTTAATTATACAAGTATATTTATAGTAATTTTAATTGATCATGTCTGTAATCAGGTCGTGTTCCATATTATAACCAAGCAAACGAAACATATACTTTTTGGGTATAGATTTACTTTTTTTTAGGATGCCGTTTCTCTTATAATTTTCGTATGATGGCACTGCGCGGCTTCATCCATAGAAAATAGCAGGTTTGGATTGCTAAATCTAGGTGTAAACCATGTACTGCTCTATATAATAAGTTGTATATCAAAAATAATTAGTTTTATGGATATATAGTAGATAAGAAGCTAGAATTCTTTGGCGGAGATAATCACAGAGTTTAGATAGATAATTTTCTAGTTAGATTATAGGTGTAACAGTATAAGACCTTCAAGAAAACTACTCTTATCTCTGTGCTAAATTGTCAGAAGCTTCTAAAAGCACATTGATTTACAAATCTAATATCTAATAAAATCCTATGTGGTTTCAAAACCATGAACTTTGACACAAAAAAAAAAATATATTTTTACAAATTTTTAGTTGCAATATTTGTATGAGTTTACTAAAACACTCCAATGATATTTAATACTGCAATTGCTATATCTCAAAGTCTAACTAAGTAATAAAGTTTGGTATTCTAAATAAAAATGCTCAGAACTCCAAAAACCTTATGTTAACTAAAATTTAAACTAGGGTTCTGCAACCCGGGCACATGCCGTGTCCAACAAAAAATCCAGGCATGGGCACAGGCACAAAATTTGGCATGGCATAGGCACGGACACAGAAGTTGACATTTATTGTCGCGGATCATAATAAAACAGATTAAAATGAAATGAAGGTTCCTATTTAACCCTCTAAAAACACTTATTATAAACTCTACCCTAAAACTAACCTCTAATCCTAACCCCTAACCCTAAAAAATGCATCTCAAAAATTTTTATTTTTCGTTGGCTTGCTTATTTTTTTACATTGTATAATATTTCATTTTAATCCGATTTCATTTTAATCTGTCGCATTTATTATTTAATTGTGCCTAGCACTTGTGCTCGCATTGTGCCCGGCACCACTCCGGCACCTGTACCCATGCCTTTGCTAGTGCCTGGCACTTTGTGCCCATACCTTTAATGTGCCTGCATTTTATGCCTGGTCTGGTGCCAATGTGCCAGGAATGGGCGTTTAAACCTTTCTAATTCCTATCTTTGATCTTTATAACTGTACGATATGTCACAGTGTAATTTTTTTTATATATAAAATTAAAAAAACACATATAAAATTATTATAAAGATTCTGTGATGTTTCTTCACCTACATATTAATTTAAAATTAAATTTTACAATCAAATATATTAAAAAAAGTGAATAAAAATGCTTTAAGTTTCGAATTAAAATTTTGTAAATTTTGCAAATTTTAATATGCAACTCTATCAAAACTAAATATTTACTAATTTTAAAAGAAGATTTATATATAAAATT